GGCATTAGAAAGGAAAAAAAAAAATAGAGCAAAAAAGTAATAAACCTTAAAAAAAAAAAAACTCTTTCTCTCCCATAAAAATCTTTCATTATAACCGACCACTTCACACATTTATGCTCGTAGCTTCCCTCTTACCATGCTAACCTTAATTGCCATCTTCCTTTCATTGACCAAAACCCAAACCAGTCATCCACTAACTATAATAAAACCTCATCTCCGGAGATTAATAACTCCCCTCTAGCCATCATGATCCTTCCTCACCGAAACCACTATCAAAGCTTTCACATAAATCATCATTCCTTGCCAATTAGACCCACTTCAAACTGCCATCAAATGCTTCCATTCCTTATTGACTAAACCCACACTTCTACTAGTCTCCCGAAATCCATTGAAATCCCCTATTCGATCAAATTAAAGGAGATTTTTTGACGAAGCCTTTTTTTCTCCTTTGCAACCTATTGCCACCGATCTCCCCTCTAGCCATTATTGTTCTCTTTTTCTCCTTAGTCATGCCATTATGTCATCCTTACAAAAAATAAAATAAAATAAAATAAAATCATCACCCCTAAACCACCATAATGACATAACATCCATTCTCTAAAAAAAAAAAAAAAAATCAAGCCGAACAACTACATACATTCCTTGTTGTTTAGCTACTATCTCCTTTTTACTAGAAAAAATCTAACAAAATCTATACCAAATCCTTGCTAATCAAAACCCTAAGTAACATCGACCATACGGACCACCACCATATACACCGTAGTCCAGCTTAAAAAAAAAAACTCCCACCAAATCCACTACTTAAGACGCATTACTAGTCAACTACGTTTATCTAAACCTTTTTCCTAGCAGTTCCCCTCTATTGTCCAAAACAAGTTTACTAGCCACCTCTTATTGCTAAAAATAAAAATGTTAGCTCTCCATTTCCATTCCACTACCGACCATGCCAAATCCCATAAGTAGGCCATTTTTTGATAGCCTTACCACCGATAACTCTATTGTCGCTGTCAATTTTAACTCTTTCTATCATAACCTTCATAAAGAAAAAGAATTTTAGTTTTTCTTTTGAGACCATACAAGTGTTAATTGAAAGGTAGAAAATTAACGAAAGTCTATAGACAATAACTACATATGAAAAGATAGTTTGGTAATTTTACTACTCTAAAGGTAAAATTGGTATTTTTAAAGTAAAACATGGGTAATCCAGTCGCTTTAGACTATTTACGATATTATTGTAATAATTTAAAGTTTTTAGCATGTTTGAATGAAATATATAAATTGTGATATGATTGGATTGAATGAGAGTGACATTACGGATTGAACTCGAGATGTTAGATATTTTTGAAATATTAACGAGAAATAAGATTGGTTCAATACCCTGTGATGGAGTTAGGAGGATGATTCGAGTTTTATTTCATGGATTATCTAGGATAAGTGTCGATCCTAGTGTGTTGTAAATCAACTAGCCGATTGAATTGTTTATGCTATAATTGCTTGAAATGTTTGATATCTAATTTAATTGAACATGCATTATATATGAATGTTTGTTTATGCTAGTTTGTCTAAAAAAATGAAAAAATTGGAGGGTTAGGTCAGATCTGGTTTTATTTGACATTCAAGCATAAACACCTTTAGCTATTAAGGTTGTTCCTTGATATACTAATCGTTTTAGGAGGTAATTGGATCCAATGCTAAATTGTCGAGGCTCTCAATTTTGAGATCTAAGTTCAATTTAATACGATTCTATAATAAAAAAAAATAAAATCAATTTTAGAGACATTTTCTCATCTACATTTAAATAAAATCAATTTTTAGGATTAGACTAAACCGATACTTTTTTTTAAAGGGTGCATTTGGGTGATTATTATCTTCCCAAAGACATGACCAACACCTTTTGAAATCTCCGAATCTAGTGCCTTCATTAGGTTTCCTAGTTTTCTTTAATATTAGATGGCAACTCCAAAAATAGTTTTAATTCTTTTTTCTTAGACTAAAAATTTTGGAAGTCTCTTAAATGTCAAATAGTGACAATCTAAACCATAAACACCTAAGGTATCCACAAACTTTATGAGATGCACCTTGGCATCTCTTTATTTTTTATTAAAAATTTTAAACTTAAGACTCTTATAGTTTTTCGGATAAGGCCTGGTTATGGCAATGTAGGTTAAATAAGAAAGTTTGAGACGAAACTTGCTAGTAGAGTTTACAAATTTTTATTTGAAGAACTTCTTTAAGTCCTTCTCGGTAACATAGTGGCATTAATCACTAGAAATGCTAGTATGATGAAATGGTTAGTGATTGTTCTACATAATAGGTGTCTATTGGAGAGGTGAGGGGGTGTCTTTATTGTCATTAGTTGAACTAGTAGTATTGAATTGTCCTTTACATTAATAGTTGCGACATCACATTTTGAGAGATAGTTGTCTAGGGAGTCTTCCTATAGGAAGTAGTTTTGTGATGTTGTCAAGAGCCTAGGAAAATATAGTGTTGTTGTCCTAGTGAACTTTGAAGACCTGCCGATTAAACGACAAGTGGACGGATCATTCGGGATATAAAGAGCTAGAGTTATGATTTATAGGCATATGGTCGACCAACCAAGTATAATGAATACAAGTAGTGAGAGACATTAAAGCAAAGTAGAAAGTGCTAACAAGGTGCAAGTAGGTAGGTGGTCAAAATCCAAGTATAATGAATACAAGTAGTGAGAGACGTTAGAGCAGAGTAGAAAGTGCTAACAAGGTGCAAGTAGGTAGGTGGTCAAAATCCAAGCGAGATTGAGTTTTAAATATTGTCTAGTGTGTAAGTGGGAAAACTATGAGAGAGAAATTTTAGAAGTTTTTTGCTAAAGATCAAAAAGTTGGAATCCAACAAGAAAGATGTAAGGTCGGTAATTATAGTGAAATAAAGATGATATTTGACCGCTAGAATCATATCACGTCATTAATATTTGGCAAGTCAAATTTAAGTTGAAGAACATTTAGTTTTTTGGAGATAAATTGCTTCAAATTGTTAGGAAAAGTTAAAGGAAGTAGTAGTTAGACTTTTTTTAAGCATATTTTGCTCGACCCCATCAAGTTAATCTTGTTAATGCATCCAAAAAACAAAAACTGAATACTAACTTTATTAGAATGTACATGCTCATCCTTGTGTGACCTAAGATCTTGTATTAGATGAGACTCATTCTCAATCTAATTCATATGTTGTGTAATTTTTGACTCATGTCAAAACTAAAAAAATAATATAAATTAGCATATAATAAAATTAGTTAAACTATTTAATTAACTTTAGAAAAAATGAGCATATATAGATATAAAAATGAATTTTTGTCTCTATTTCCGTAACCAAACATACTTACCTCAATATTTATTTTTAACTTCACAGCAGTGAGGCAGAACTTCTAAATTTGAATATAGAAAGTACTGAAAATAATTAAAAAATTAAGTGAATACTATATAGTACATGAACAATCCAACAACCAAGCTAAAAGGTGGTCCTGTCCTGAGGATTTGCAGTGCACGAGCTCTGCGTATAACTTGATGTTCAAATTTGAAAAGGAAGTGCGCACAGAGCAAGAAGGCATGAAGGAAGAGACACCCATTATAGGACAAATGGCTAACATTAGTTTTTTAGTTTGATTGAGGGTTGGGGTTGGAATTAATTATGAAATGCGAGGAGCTCTGATTGTTTTGGCAGTTTCGAGGTGGCACTTTGTTTGTAGGCTTTTGGATGCATGCCACCAAGGGTATTAGTTAGACTGAACAAAGATTAAATACTTGCATTATTCACAATAAACATCTTTGATGTCCATTCATTATTTTGGAATTTTCTGCAACTAGCTCAGCTAATGATCCACCTCTTATCATCACTTTTGTAGGTTTCAAATTACTAATCTGTACATCATCTTGCAGCCATGTTCCTGTTTGTTAATCTTTTGTATGTATTTGCCTCCATTTAAGCATGTGCATGTCAGAGTTCGAGAGAGGATCATACATTTAGCTATATATATATATAGGAGACAAAAGTTAATTGAACTCTAGGTCCCATAGTTTGGCATAGCAAATCTGATGCAGATAACATGTACAGCTTCAGAATTTTTTTGTTGCAAAAAAAAAAAAAAAAAAAAAGAAAAAAAAAGAAGTGAATATATTCGAAATTTTTGGTCTTTTGTTTCTTTCTTGATAATTAGCAATTTCACCACTGATGTCACAAAGGAATTGTCCTTTATATATCAGCTTGTTAGCAGAGTAATTGATATATTATAACCATGAACAGACCACTGTATATAAATACGACTCCATTATGCTATGCTTTTATCAAACAATTGTCCTCCCCAGAAGCTGAAATTTCAATTCAAATAAATATTCCTTCAAGAACATTAATTCTATCATTTAACCATATCTAAGTAAATAATGATGCTATGTCATGCCATTATATTTAGCTTGCTTTATCTTCTTATATAATTTCTTTAGTTTAAGTTGTTGTCCAAGCACAAGCACCTGGTTTCTTACAATAGGATACCAAAATTCAAAAGTTGATGATTTCTTATATTGAATGTTTATTTTCATAATTTCAAACAAATATACGTTCCGTTAAGTTTAATTTATTTCTTATAACTGAATTATATGTAAAAAAAGAAAAAAACACGCTGTATTTATTTATTTCTAACAAAAAAAGTGAAGTAAACAATGACTTAAAGTCATTGTAGCAATATATTCCTTTCATTCCAAGTCCTTCCAAACTATATAGTCAGTTGGTAGAAAGGCAAGTGCACGGCATCAGAACATTTAAAGTCTGTTTTGGATGTTTTCTTTTTGTAAAGAATCTACCGTTTTTACTAGTACTGTATTTGTACACATAATGACAATATAACAAACCATTAGTATCCTCGTCATCACTAATTCGTTTAGTCTTCATTACTACTATATAATAAGCAGTACTCCCATTCATATGCATGTGTTGCATTCTTCTATGCTAAATCAACTCTTACCACTCTTGCTATCATGAACAACATAGAAAGCTCGAAACTTAATCCATCTCAAGACCCTTGTAACCATCAAGCCAATCCAATACCCCTTGAAACAACAAACACTTTTGAAAATGGAGAGAAAGGGGTCATTAGTAGGCAAACAAAAACAGGAAAGATCAGCAATGGACCAAGATATCTTGGAGTGAGGCAAAGACCCTCAGGTAGATGGGTTGCTGAAATCAAGGACTCTTCACAGAAGCTGAGGCTATGGTTAGGAACTTATGATAGAGCAGAAGAAGCTGCTTTGGCATATGATAGTGCGGCAAGGCTTCTAAGAGGAAGAAATGCAAAGACCAACTTCTCCTATCATGGAATTATCAACTCCCACGAAGAGAACTGCAGCCTCGTAGGAAAAAATCCAAGGCTGTATCATCTTCTTCAGCATGCAATCATGAAGAACCATGCAAGATCAGCACCTCTTAGAATCCCATACAATCACGATTTAATTGATTTCGAAACGCTCGTTGAAGATACTATAGTTTGTTCTTCAGCTTCAGATGATCATGGGTTTAGGAGCCATGAATTTGATGCTCGAGATGGTTATAGCAAGCTTTGTGGTCTATCATATGGAACCTCCAAGGTTTATTCTTCTGTTATTGTAGCTCCTTCTTTTAGTGCTTCTTTATGTCAAGAAGGAGAACAAAACAACTGTAATGAGATTTAGTATAGATTAAACTGCTACTTCTGATTAATGCAATATGGTTGTAAATAAAAATTATGAATTCTGTTCCAAGAGAGCGAAGTCCCTTTTAAGTATATTTTTAGGTCTTATTTAAATTTTATTGACTATTTTAAAAGATTTTTTAAATTTATATTAGCTTAACTTTATAAACCTCTGTTTCAAATAGACTTTAAGTTAGTTAATTAAATATCTCTTCAAATATAGAAGTTTTGAGATATAAATTGATATATAACATTAAGGATAAACGGTTCAAAAAAACTCTTGTGAACCTTAATTTATTTGAGAATTAGTCTCTCAATTTCCAATTTCAAGTTGGACCTCCCTCCAATTATTTTTATTTGAAATTAATTTTTCTTATTAGGTTTTCGTCAATTCGATTCTAACATGCAAGTGTAGCTTTTAAAATTTAAAAACATACCAAAACTTATAGATGTTTTTTTTCCTCCTCTCCTAAATATTAAGAAGTTGGAAATTAAAATATATTTTAGAAAAAAAAAGTTTTCGAGGGAAAAAATAAAATATTTATAAGTTTTGACATATTTTTAGCTATTAAGGATATACAAATATGGATTACATTTCCCTACTCAACCTAAGCCATATTTGGCAATAACTAATCTCACACAGTAAACTCCCACCGACCGTAAAAATATATATTGCTCAAAATATAGAGTCATCACTTAGTTTTCAAAAAAGTGAAGTTGAGAAAAACATAACACATGTCTTAAAAGTTCTAAGTAAGAAGATTGATTACACGACCGGAGTATCCTAGTTTGCTCTTATAATGTGGTTATCTTGTATTTTTAACTTATAAAAATTCATTCATATAAGTCCATTTCATGTCCATTTGTCTATCCTAATTTCCGAGTTTGATTATTTAGACTTTTTCTAATCAATTTTAGATGAGGTGATTTAAAAATTGAAAGAACACTCAATCTCTCATTTAAATTGTTATTGTACCATTAAAATCCATTTGAGAAGATAAAAATTAGGCCTTAAAGTCTATTTGCAAATTAAGCAACCTAATCCTCGTACAAAAAAATATAATAAAATAAAAATAAAAAATGTAAACATAAAATAAAATAAATTTGGACCAATAAGCTCAAGTTCACTTGTCAAACCTTGCAATAAATATTACAAGTCCATGATAACAAAAATCTAAAAATATAGACTCGATCTCGAGACCATATCAACTTGCCGTGCCATTTTAAAATAATAAAATGGACCCAAAATCCAATGTCTAATTTAAAGACAAATATGCAAGAAGATAAAATTAGTAGCATTGAGAAAATAAAATAAAATAAATATCAAACTAAATAAACAATAATAATAATACTAAATGCATATATATTAATAAATAAAGCCTCGTTATTATAACAAAATTGGTCTTAGGTCCAAAATTTATTCCACCTAGACTGATTTAAATTGACATCACATTGTATAAACATACAAGTGCAACATGCAAAGATCATAGATAATGTAAAGACGACTTCATAAAATATAATATTGGTCTATTTTACTTTCCTAGAAAAAATAATAATAAAATATAAATATATGCTAGCCTATCGCTAGCTTCATTATTAACCAACAATTCTTTAGAGATTTTTTATACAAAAAACAAAATTAGATCATAGATAATATTTCAATCACCCTTTAAACTTTTTTTTAAACAATAATAATAAAAATAAAAATTTGAATAAATACTAAAATATCACATATTTCCAACCCCACTTAAATGAGATTTTAGACACATAAAAAAAAAAAAAAAAATCAGATTCAAAGCTTTATTGAATGGGTTAAATAAAATCAAGGACTCCAAATTTAATTGCTTTCAATTAAACCCAAAATCAAGTAATTCTAATTCTATGAATCATCCAAATTCAATACTAGTAACATAATTAATATCATCACAAAATATTATCAACAAACTAATTATGCAACATATAAAATTCAGATTAGAATTAATAAAAATTTGTTCAAATTTATAAATCAGAAGTTTAGGGACCAAAATAGACAAAGGAGAAGCAAACCCAGAAGTTACAGAAGGGGCACCTGGACGCATAAGTAACAGGCGTCTGCTTCCTCACTTGCGTGTCTAGTAGCATATTACTAATCGAAATGAGGTCAAACCAACAACATTGACTTCATCTCCTTCTGGTTATGGTGGTTGTCCGGTGTATGTGATTACTGGTTTTTCAGAAGGGATCGTGCCGTTACTATCTTCTTCTCATCCTTTTTCTCTCTTTTCTACTAATATTTTTTTTAGGTGTTGAGGTGCGTGTGAGTGAAGGTAGGGTATAATCTATTTATAATGTTATCTAGGTCGGCTCTAAACTTGTTACTCTTTAGAATTTGAGCTTGCCAGCTAGGCCTAACCTAGCCACGTGCACCTAGACCAAGAGTGTAGCCCAACGCTTGCTTGGGCTTTCCATGAATGTTTTTGTTTTTTCTATTTTTGATTTTTTTCTGATTTTATTTTTTTATTTTATTCATTGTAGGGAAAAAAAAAAAAGGTGATGACAGTTAAAATAAAATGCCAAATATAAATCCAAATCCAATGAGGATTAATTAAATAGCCTAAATCTAAAACATAAAAATAATACAAATAATTAAACAATCTATAACCAATTAGTATAAATTAAAACTAAAATAAGATAGAACTATCGGCCTAGAGGGTGTTATACCCTTGGCCAACATGTTGTGCACACTTTTGTGTCACCAAGCTTTTGATTTCAAAATGGTGATGCTTACCAAATTATGAGTCCTACATGATTCACTTGATTTGTGATTAGAAAAAAGTCACCTTCATTTGATCTATGAGAAAGTCACTCGCATTTGACCTATGATTTGGGATAAGTTAACCATCAATTGACTCTATTGTGTGATTTTTGTAAATGATTATTTTTAATTTTTTTTCTTTTCTTTCTTATATTTTTTTTCAAGCTTATTATGTAAAGTTAAAAAAAAATACTTTTTAATTACTTTGCGCTATAACTATTGTAAAGAAAAGAAAAATATCAATATCCAAATCTAACTCTCTATAAAAAATTTTTATAAGAAAAAAGGAAAAAAAAGAAAAAAATCCTAAGAAATCCAAGAATAACATGTTACATTTTTTTCATCTTTCTACATAATTTCTAGTTAACATGATGAATTTTTATAGCTTAAATGGTGCGGGTAATTTACTAACAATGTTGAAAGAAGAAAAAGAAAGAAGACGGAAAGTGAAAAAAAAAAAAAGAGTAAAAAAAAATAGGAGAAAATTATATGACATAGTTTTTGTGAAGAATTGGAACGAGCCTAAGCTCCCAACTCTTTTGTTCGTGGGTGTTGAATTTAGAACCCCTTAAAAGACTAAGGAATTCAATATCTTTTTGTGAAATTGATGGATGAAAAGGAAGTTCCAGTCTTGTTTAATTAGGTTATAAACTAAGTAGTCTCAAAATCAACATAAACAAAATTTCCTACATACCCGTCACAAAGATCAAATGCGTTCACAAAGCAAATCAACTCAAAATGACCTAAAATTTTAATAATATGTAGTCAATAGATCGATGAAAATACTATCTATATTTTAGTTTAATGTGATAACTTTTGACCTCTCCGAGGCTAAGTTAAAGTTCTATCCAAATTCTATTCTAAACATGGATTTTAGGAATAAAGAAACTAAAAAGTAAAGCCATGCTATGTTGATTGTCAAACTGGTTAGAGTTTAACCCTATATAATTTTGGTGAGATTGACCTCACTAAACCTTTGAATTAGATTGTAATTAAAGAACCCACCTTGGTTGATCAAGTCAAGGATATAAACATCAATCCCTAAACATAAAGATTCAAGAGAATAAAGAGAACCTTCTCAAATATTTTATTAATTCTCAAGGAAAGAAAGATATTATGAGACTTATCTCTCAAAAATATATGACCCCTATTAGTACTAGTAATGGCTAGCCATGTAAGGCTTTATAAGATAAAGGATAAGACCAAAGAAACTTATCCTATATGCACTACAAAACCCTAGTCTCATTTATCTTTATGACTCTCTAATGCTATTCTTATCTATCTCAATTAAAGAACTTTACTTCTACTAGACTTAATATTACAATCAAATCCTAAAAAGCATAATTATTCTAACACAAGATAATATTAAGGATCATGTTACAAGATAATGTTGAGGATAACATTATCCTAACAAAGCATAATTTTGGCCCATAAAAAATAGAAACCTCTTGATCCATTTATGTGTGATCTTAAGTTATACTTTAATATCTTGAACCACACTTCGTGTCATGTGCCCTAGGTTGAAGAAAAATTGACCTCCAGTTTTGATACATTGTAGTCTTGATTTTGTAATAAACGTCTTGGTCCATTTAATCCATGCTATCTTGAAAATATTTAACCTAATGTCTTCTAAAATCAATTTGAATGTGAGTGAATCTTCGACATTATTTTGAATTTGAACTCTTAAAAGCTCTTCATTTTATTAATACTATTTTGAAAATTCAAGAGGGATTTTACCTTTATAGCTTCAATTATATTTTCAAACTCCTTAATCCAAGTTTTATGGCTAGTAAGTTCATTAAGGTAAAATTGTTCATAGTACCAACCATTGCATGCATTAACTTTTGAATTTGGAACTTCATCTTGTTAGCATATAAGCCATGGAATTCCAATGTGTAGTGGTTGAGTATTTTTTGCACACCAATCAATATATGCCTTCCCTTTACGACTATAAGATGACATGACATTACAATACTTGCTTGCCATTTGTGTAAAGAATAACATGACCTCCTTGTGATGTAAATTGATTTTCTTACTTTACCATGTCAACTAACAATGTAGTAAATTTAATCTCATCCCCGAGATATTGGTAGCGACTTATGTGTCTTCAATTTCTCGTCTAACCTACCATTCTTTCATTGGCTTTATCAACGTCATCCACTTGTGCCATTATTGATACCATGTTGCAATATATTGAATAACAATATTAATTACTACCTTCTTCCTTTGTTATAATCCTCGGCCTTCATGGTTCGATACTATTTCTTCTACTTTTTTTAGAGCTTAGACCCAAAACAACCTACGACTTCTTCACAATAATGGTTTTTCTTTCAATTTTGAACACTTACCAACCGGCATTGTGGGGTGGCAGAGGCTAGGAGGGCCATAAGAAATTCCATGGGGGAATTTGCATTACACATGCCAATACACACATGATTACTCAATAGATTCAGTGGAGTGGTTATTTTTAGACCACTAGAGAGAAAAACTATATTGATTATATGCGGAACTATAATACCCTCTACCTAGGACCTAAGTAGGTTGAGAGTATTACCAGTAGTGCTTCACATTTCAAGTGCAATTAATGCAAAACGAGTAAGTGTCGTATCATTTACAATCTAATTATAATCATCCACCACTAAAGCTACTTTATTTTATTATTTTGGTCCATCCTTTATATAAAAGTAAGTATAAATTTTTTCCAAACTAAATTCATCAAGAAATAGTCATTACAACTTATTAATTTAATTCAATAAAACTTGTGAATATACTTACCAAAATATGTCTAAAATAATATTTTGGATTAAAATAAAGCAAGTTGTCTCTTTAATTTCTACAATTATTCTTGTCAAATTCAGATTAATTAATTATATGTTAATATGAAATAATCAATTTAATCTCTTTTAATTTGATAAACCCTTTTAAATATAAATTCTACTAATTGATTGATCTTAATACTTGGTTATTAATTCCTTCAATTTAATAGAAAACATCTAAGGTCAAAAATTCAATTAATTAACTTAATTAAAACCTCAATTTAGTCCATTGGAAGCTATTTTTTTTTTTATGCTCTTTGGAAGCTAATCTTGATTAGAAAATCCCAATTTATTTAATTTTTTCTTAAGGAACACGGATGGGACCCCGACAAATTTTATTAATGAAAAAAAGAAAATACAATGGGGGACATACCGGCCTTACGCCCAACAAAAAGGGGCATTAGGAGAACCTTACCCTAAAATACTAAACATGATACATATAAATACAAAAATAATCTTGTCTATAAGCTATACGAACATTCATAGAAAGATCCATAACATGGTAAAAAAAAACACAATGTCCTAAATGCATATACATGTAATTAGTTCACCTATGAAGTCGTATAATTTTATTGATGAAGTACATGAGAAATAGAATTAGAATGTGTCATCAAAAAATTTCTCACATCGTCTAAGTTCCTAAACATAGCACCATGGTTTGGAGACTCGATGTAGTAACACTTCTACTACCACCAAAGAATTAGATTCTACTAATACTCGTTCTAATATTCAACTCCCGACACATTTCAAGACCATTTAGAAGAGGTTTTATTCCTCAACACGTATTTGTTCTTGTTCCATAATAACGTGAAAAACTAGCAACAATACATCCCTAATTGTTCCAAATAATGCCACCACATGTGCAATATCCATTTCTAGAAGATCCATCTATATTCAATTTGTAAAACCCGTATTTAGAGGTCGTTATTTTAACCAATGCCATTTTACGAGCTTTATTGGAAGCATAGTGGTCGTGACATTGTTGTAGCTTAGATTTACCTTGAAAGCTACACTTTTTTTTTTATGTATAAACCACACACAAATTCAGTAAGATGGCCACTAATTCTCTTTTTTAACCAAGTCTATACTCATGGAAATATCAACATATTTTACTAGACATCTACTTTTTCGCATTTCTCATAGGGTAAAACAAATATTACAACCTAACACATACCAACTTGAGTTTTTATAGCACACAATCAATAATTAAGAAGTTTTGAGCTATAATGGTACCTAGTTTGTATTTGAAAGATTCGACCATAGTGATCCCATAGTTGTACCACTATCTCTCGAATAAAGAAACAAATGATCAAATATTTCTCTTTGTGGCTATGCCAATAGTGACACATTGAGACTAAAGGAACATTTAAGCATTTGACATCACCAAGTATAGCCTTATAAATCCATGTCCAAATGAAATTGCTTAACTTGATAGGTATGTTGGAAGACCACACCTTAGTGCACTATGTAACTATTGGAAAGTGATTTCTGCATGCTTCCTAAAAGTCTTTTGTAACAAACTCGACTTGACTTTGAGAGAGTAAAAACCAACTTATCTTCTATATCATCATCAAATTGGATATTGTGAACTTGTTCTTGTAGCTGACTACGAATGAATTCCATAAACTCTTTTATGTCTTGAATGGCCTCTTTCACTATGAGGTTATTATCCAATGGCAATAGAGTTGGAATTACCGATCCACACTAATTGGTCTTCTAAAAAGAAATATTACCATTTTTGATAACCTATCAGCTATTATCCATTATAAAAGAAAATAATTTTGGCATCGATCACCATATGAAAAAAGCTAAACATTTTATAGGAGAAGTGAAGTCTTCATACTTTACTTTTGTGAAACTTGCCCACCCACTATTACCTTATTTATGGGACCAAGTTAACTTTGCTTACAAAGCCTCCATCACATGTTGAAGACTATGAATACCTAACCTCCTTCTTTCAATGGAAGACAAACAACCTCTTAAGGTATCTAAGTGATATCTAGGTTCACCAAATTGAACTCTAAAGAAAATCTACCATTCGTTTTCCCATTCTTCTTAAAATTGAAGTGGATGTTATTTAAAACTCGATTTAATGAAAGTAAGTTTTGCACCCAAAGTTAGTAGTTTTGACTTCTATCCATAGAACCTTTTAGCCATCATCAGTTTAAAATTCTAAAAATGTATCTTCTTTATTCTTCTTGTTGTAATGCCCGGTATTTCATAGGAAAATGAAATTGAGTGAATCCACTCCAGCCTTGAATTTGTTCCGACTGAGAGATAAGCATCATTTGGGTACATAAAAGCCACTCTTTAAAATGTTCATAAGCTTACCAAAAGCCCTCTCATATATGGTAATTAAATCTCTTAGATTTAAGAGTGATCATTTCTCTTCATTAGCAAATAGAAGCATATTATCCGTATATAATAAATGAGATATAGAGTTAGACATTCTCTTTACTCGAAAGGCTTTAATAAGACCATTTTTATGCGCTCTCCGTAAGTTAAGAGATAACACCATTTACACCAAAACAAAGGGCAAAGGAGATATGGGGTCTTCTTTGCACACTTCTTCACTGGACTTGAAGAAATCAAAACTACTTGCTTGTATTCGAATTGTATACCAAATGTTGCTAATGTAATGACACACCAAATCACACCATTTTTCATTAAAACCCAACTCCCTTATAGGGTGCAGCAAGAAAGGCCATTCCACTCTATCATAAACCTTGGACATATCTATTTTAAAAACTCGGGTTACCACCTCTAACCTTCGTGTTTACATCATGAACCATCTCCTTAGGTAAATCAATAATCTCTATAATACTCCTTCTTATAACCGTGATTTTTCATTAGTTATAATCTCCGGAAGCACTTTATTCGGATGGGTTACTAGTACTTTAGATAGAGTTTTACAAGAAAAATTGAACAACCTAATTGGTCCAATGTCATTCGGTAAGGTAGGATTGGGTATTTTAGAATCGAATCATAGTCGATAAACCTTTAAGGATTGTGCTTCTTTTCGAAGTAGTCCCGAACTACCCGAACCATATCTATTTTCATAATATCCTAGCATCCTATAAAAAAATGACTTGTAAAGCCATCTTCACCTAGGTCACCATCCGGTTCAACTCATTGATTGCCTTATAAATTTCCACAGTTAAAGGAATGACACCGAGAATTTTATTATGCTCATCTATAAAAATTTTCTTCATTCCTACAAAAATATTATCATGCATACTCATAAGTACTCGAAGAAAATAACTTTTGGTAGTAATCTTTTACCGCATGCCCAATAAAAGAATGACTTTTGTTATTACTGAAATTTATCTTTTTGATATTGAACTTTATCTTTTTCAAATTATCTTTAATACGAGCATGAAAATAAATATATAACTTTCATCCTCCTTTTTGATACCGAACTTTATCTTTTTCAAATTATCTTTAATACGAGCATGAAAATGAAAAGCATTTCTATCCCCATCCATAACCCACATAGCTTAAGCTTTTTTGTTGTAACATTTCAACCTTCTAACTAGTCAGTTGGTTTAGAAGATCTTTTATTTTATACACATTTTTTGCCTTGTTATTACTCCAACCTAAAATAAACACATCTTCCAACGAAGCTATATCATCTTGAATGGCCTCTCTTTCCCTTGTAACATGCTCAAACACATTCCAATTCTAAACTTTAAGAACTTTCTCGGTATGTTGTAATTTTTTTTTCTAAAGAATGACCAAAGGTGGTTCCTAAACTTGCTCATTCCATGTCCGCTTAACAAAACCCAAAAAATCTGTATAGTCTAGCCATATTCTTTGAAAGTAGAACAAAGCATGCCCATTATATACCTTCTAAAATCGAAGCAAGTAATGAAGAGTGCTCGAATTGATTTTTACCGGATGTTCCACCTTTAAGGTCAAAAAATCAACTTTGAACGTTCCATCCTTGAGCACTTTATCTAAATGTTGCCAAATACATATACCATCCCCTTGATTATTACACCAAGTGAACCTATTACCTATGTATCCCGCATCATCCAATCCATATTGTCTATAATAATCTTTGAAATCCTTCATTCCTTGAATATCATAACCAGATCCCTTTGAAATTTTTTAAAGTGCTAGCAACTCCTATTAGGCAAGGATATTAAAGCCGACTTGACATCTACCGTAATGCCTCGCCAAAGTTCCTGTTTTTTCCTCTAGTGTATTTAGCATAAACAAAAATACACTTAACCTTAACCAATCTTGAGAGCTTAAAAGAACTATGACAAATTGTTTTCCAATCTCCATACTATGAAAGTCTATTGTGTTATGCCAAAACAACCATATTTGTGTGTTGTTTGGATTATATTGTTAATAGTCGGAGAATTTAAGTTTACAAACTACTAAATAAATTTTACTCCCATCCAACTTAAGCTTAAGAATAACTAAGAAAACTAGCTTATATTTCATCTTTAGCAACTTAAGGTAG